TAGTAGTAGTGGTAATCTCAGCAATCTGTCAACTAGACACAGAGCCAAGATAAAACCATGAAGATCAGCGGATAAGGGACCGTCATCGCCTCATAATCCTCCTGGCATGGTAGTTGAAGGTGGGCAACACACTTCAGCTAATATGCCGCAGGAAGAATAGAACAATTTGACAAAAAGTAGAACAAAACATTTTTAGTGTTTTTCACACGCCGATTTTTCTCTTTTTTGTCATTTTCAATGTTGGTAGTATTAAACATGTGAATCAATACAATACTGTACACAATCCTTCCACTGATTCCGGTTGCGGGCCATGTCTTCAAGAGTGCTAAGCCATTGGCACTCCTCATCTTTGGGTCCCAAATCTAGAAGACGTACGGATCCAACAGCGGCTAGACACGACGTCAGCGATTTCATGTGCTGCCGCCAAGTGGAAGGCTGACCACCACGCGGTCGCCTCCAGCCAGGTCCTTGACGAGCGAATAGAGCGCGACGCGGTAGACGCTCGGGTGCCATGTGTAGAACGTGACCGAGCCATCTTAACTGGCGCAACAAAACCAGTTTGTTGAAGGAAATACTTGCATTCCCCAAGATGCGACGTCGAACGTCATTACTATTAACTCTACGTTGCCACCAAACACGAGCGATCCTCTTTAAGCAACCGTTATCGAAGGCAGAAAGACGACGCATGTCTTCCACGTGAATCGGCCAGGACTCACTCATACAACAATACCGAGCGAACTGATGCGCTGTAAATGCGGCCCTTTAGTGAGAATGAGACGTCACGACGACGCCACAAGTGCCTCAGATTGACAAATGCTGATCGAGCTTTAGCGATACAAAGCGAAACTTCTTCGTTAATAGTGCCGTCAGCAGAAACACAGCTCCCGAACTAGACGAAACTATCTACCTGTCCAAATTGTGAACCTTCGAGAGTGAGCACGGGAGCAGGTGAAAGCCAACCCTTGAGCAGTACTTTACACTTCGATGGTGCGAAGCTCATGCCATACTTAGATGCTTCAACCGCCAAACGATCCAGAATGAGTTGCATACCCTGAGGATCGTCACCAAGTAAGGCGATATCGTCAGCATATGGGGACATAGGCAGCCCTGTCGCATACCGCTATTGACAGCGAATTGCGAGGGAAGCTTGCCATAGACCCTCACTCTGCCGGATGTACAAAGGTAAAGTGCTCGTAAGATGGCGGTATATTTCTCTGGCCCCCCATTCTTTAGCAAGCAACTCCATAAAGCATGTCGATCAACGGAGTCAAAAGCGGCACGTTTGTCTAGGAATGCAACGATAGTGGGCCTGTGATAAATGTGGTGATGTTCAAGGAGTTGGCGGAGCGTGAAGATTTGATCCACGCATTCGCGGCCAGGATGGAAACCAGCTTGTTCTTCACGGTAGCACGATTCACGTACTGGGGATAGCCTGCGAAGCAGAATGGATGCCAACAGCTTAGAGACAACCGAAATAAGACTAATCCCGCGATGATTTGCACATGAAGTGCCAGCGCCTTTCTTGAAAATTGGGACAATAACTGATTCGTCCCAAGAGGAAAGCACTTTCTCTTCATGCCAGATTTTTGCGAACAGCGCGGTCAGCTGGTTAATGATCGCCACACCGCCATACTTGAATAGCTCCGGAGGAAGTCCGTCTAAGCCGGCAGCCTTGAAGCGCTTCAAGCGTCGAATCTCGAGGCAGACTTCTGCTTCGCTGGGTGGATTCAATGGGACGAGCCAGGGTGGACAACAAGGTGTAATACATGTACTGATGGATGGTGGAAGCGAGTTGAACTGCGAGTGAAAGTGCTCGGCCGAGCGGTCCATACGCCTCTGTTGCTTGGTGATCGGAGACTCATCCACCTCACAAATGACCTCACTGACACCAGGATTCCTGAGGCCAGTGGACCAAATGAGTTGGAAAAGCCTGCGAGTGTTGCCAGAGAGGGCAGCTGTCTCCATCTCTAATACACGCTCAGACCACCATGTCTCGCGATCCTTGCGTAGGCTTTGTTTGAGCAGCCGGTTGGCAGAACGGCGCCGCTCGTTGCAATCTGATTGCGCGGTAATATCTTTGCGGCGTTCGAACAGCTCCAGAGAACGAGCAGAGATCCAAGATTTTAAAGGGCGTCGAGTTAGACCGCAGCATCACTGTCCGGAAATGGTCATCGCTTTCCGTATACAAGTCCAGTGTTGTTCCACTTCTTGCGGTGGATTGCAACTGAGTGCATATGCCAGTGAAGACTGATAGCTCTCCTGGACAGAGGAATCAGTTAATCTGTTTACATCAATCTTGCGATGCTTCGTGTTTCGGGACCCTCCGAAGCACATACAGATTTTCGCGTAGACCAGAGCATGATCTGAGTCAACGAAGGTGGACCAAAAGGACCTGCAGTCCAGTACGCTGCCGCGCCATCTGAAGCTAATTGCAATGTGATCAATTTGAGACCATGTGTTGTGTTGACGAAGGGGGATGCCATGTTGCGGAACGCTTCTTCGTACGCCTGAAGCTAGTGCTCGAAAGAAACAGACGGTTTCTTCGCACAATATGAGAAGTCTCTCTCCATTATCAGAGCGGTTCTCATCGAGCGCGTGATGACCACCAAGGTGGCGTTCGTATGGTAACAGGCGGCCAACCCGTGCATTAAAATCCCCAACAAGGATAACGACATCCGACTTTTTAGCATTAGTCAAGAGCTGTTGTAGATCTCGGTAGAATTCGTCCTTGACCGAGTCGGCACTGCAGTCATTTGGAGCGTACACAGAGATCACAAACAAGTTGCGTCTCTCTTCGCGGTGCCTGTTGATTCTACATGAACCACGAAGAGTAACTGCACACAGTCGGCTGTTAATCGGAAACCAGTCCAGTAGTGCCGCCTCGGCCTTGCCACTCAGTGCTATACCTACACCAGCCAAACCCGCTGAGGCTGCTTCTGGATCTCCAGAAAGACGCAGGTGATATCTGGTTTCGTGATCACTGGGGGATGTCAATATAAGCACAGTGCTGGGATCTTGCAATCGGGTTTCCGAAAGGCAGCAGACATCAACGTCTAGGGAATCTAGGGTGCGCGCTAGACCAGTTTGCTGTCCAATCTGCATGAGTGTCCGAACGTTGAAGCACGCCAGACGGAACGAGGATCGGGGACGAAGGAGAGCCATAGGTTGAACTCCTTGATCTGGGGAGCAACCGGAATCGCAGCCAGATTGTTGAACAGATGAATCGGGTAACGGAAAGTGAGGATTGTTAGCAAACAAACAATTGGTGTGTGATGAAGTAGCGTGAAAGTGAGTAGCAGGAACAGTAGCTGATGAGCGCGTTGTAATACAGTCCACGGTTTTGTGAGAGGGCGTGATACTACCCGGGTGCGCCAACCTTTGGCTAAATAACCTACCCGCATGTTCTCCAAAATTGGTAGAAACCCACCCCTGCGCTAACCCTTGGTGGTGATCAGCTAGAAGTCGTTCAGGAATTCAACTACCTGGGCAGCTATATTAGCGCCAGTGGGATCGAAACTGAGATTACGAACCGTAAAGCAAATGCTCGAGGTGTTCTTGCCAAACTCCGTCATCTGTTGCGCAGACGCGACATCACTTTCTCTTTGAAGTGCAGTGTTTACAATGCAGACGTCCGTTCTACCCTCTTATACGGTCGTGAAACCTGGCTTATCAGGTCGACATACATAAAGGGGCTGGTCACGTTCGATCATCACTTCCTTCATAGCTTAGCTCATGTCTGTTTGGAGCATCGCGTGAGCAATGATCTTGTTCGGTGTTGCGTATTTGATGTAGGAGGGAGTGAATCATTCGGCACTATTACATCACGCATGAGGCTCCGATGGCTAGGCCACGTGTTGCGCATGCCAGCACACCGACACCCTCGACGTGCATTGTTTGCGCCCCGGGCGTGCGGTTGGAAGAGAAAGAGGGGAGACCAAGCGATGACTTGGTCGAATGAAATGAAAACCATCACTTTGAAACTGACGTCGATTGGTGCATCCCGACTGCCTAGTTGGGGTCCTGAGGATGATGAACACATTGGGTTGGACACACTTGCTGATATGGCTAGGAGTCGGCCCCAATGGCGTTTGTGTTGTGCGTTCCTTTGTCCATCCCCCTCCCGCTTAACCGCCTCTCCAATCACGATCTCATTCGTTAGGCGTAATATAATTCTCTATTTGCGGTACGACAGCCGGCGGTTAGCTCTCCGGAACCATGTCCATTTGTTACTGGGGACTCAGCCGGCGTGCCTCTTTTTTTCTTTTGCATTTCGGCACAATAGCTGTGGTGTGTGTAATGTATAATGATGATGTAAAATGATGATGATGATTGACCCCGATGGTGCTTTTTATTGAAGTGGATACTACTTAGTAGCGATTCGGCCATCATAAACTAATGTACCAGTTCATTTTCTGCCTTATGAACGCGATTTTAACTTTTTCCTTCCCTTGTTTCCGGTTTTTAACCACTTCATTTGACGATTTTACCCATCTATCCACTTCTCTGAATTTATCACTGCTGACATTTATCATCGTTATTACTATCCCTCTCCCTATTTTACGAACGTGTGTAGCGAACTGGATTATTCACACAGTGCACGAATCATGAACTAATTTGAACACAGCCAATGACCTAGAAGATTACGCGATTGCCTAGTAATCCGGTCACCAAATCAACGTAGGTGCGGGCAACCTCGCGGTATGCCCACCCCACTCGCGACTAATGGGGGTTCCGTGGCAACGCAGCGTCAATATGGTGCGCCGGCGTACTGCTGTCTTTGTTTCTCAGAAATCTTCCAGTGGTCCCCCTTTTTAATCACTTGGCGGCGGAGCACAGCACATCGTGCTGTTATCTACTACTGTTAACACCAATATTTATTCATTTGCAATGCTTGTTACAGAGGAACGTGTTTGCTTATTCTTCAGACTTGCGATGCTTTCACGCTTTCAACTCTGAAAATATCAACTGCTTACAGTTTCCACCTGCTTTATCACTTTCCCATGATGGAAGGTAAGACCGTCGTTCTTTTCCACTGTTTCTTTCATAAATGGTTTATAATCAGCTTTGTGATTCTCGTAAACCGAATTCACGTGCACAAAAGCATCATTTGTATCCCTGCTATGCATATTTTATCCACTCCGTTCATTTACTACAATCCGAGCACCGAGGTCCGATGCACCCAGATGCCAAAACCGACACCGGCGTAGTTGTAACAATTAAAAACTGCAGATTGAAGTGGGAAAGGCCCTTAACATAAGAACATTTTCGGCGAACTGAAATAACTAAAATGAGATAGTCGTTAGATGGGTTAACAAATACAGTGAGGAACTAAATGCGAAGGAATCATTGCCTTCTCAACTGCTCCTTGTCAAGTCTCAGACCACAGGCTTAACCGATTTCTTGTGCCTCAGTCGGAAAGAGGATCAAGTTAGTTATATTTTTTGTGACGTCATCGATCGCTCGCCTCGAGATTTCGTCCAACCGAATTTAATACTGACAACCGTGCACTCCGTGGCGATCAGTAAATTACGAAGGTGATCTGAACAATCTGAGTGGTCACATTACAAAGATGGACCCGGTTCGGTATTAAATAGAGCTGCTCATTGGGGAACCCGCTTAGTTAAGGACTGTCATAGACGGCTGGCCAGAAGTATCCAGGTTCTTGATCTCAGCACGCAGTTGCTATATCACAGGTTCATGTAGCAACATTAGTCATGCAATAGCACTTCAAACGACAAGCTAATCTCACCCCGTCTTCATGGATGAATCCCATTATGAGGTCACACGCGGCTTAGTGATCCGCGTAGTAAGCTCTTCATGCTTTGACCACCATAGATGATGTAGTTCCTTCGATAGACGGGCAGGTAAACTGCCTCAAGCGGCTTCCTGGTGATAATGGCAACTGATGGTTTGTTGACTCAGTTTTACAGCGGCATTTTGCGCTTCTGTCGTGTCAGTCTACCAAGATCCCTTTTGGGGTAACGTACTACCACCGAAGTTCAATTCAGAGTTGACCACGGGTCAGCTTGAGATTGCGTGTCGCAATCCATTCGCACAATTGCTCCAAAACGACTCTCTTAACCATCAGCCGTTGTGACAAGCACTGACCGCGGCTTAAATGCAGACGTCTCGGTTGACATTCAAACATCTTGCGCTCGAGTCGCGACCCCACTTTCTCTATCTGACAGTTCAAGTACGGTGGTGATGGTGAAGTTCTGTGTTGCGACTTTGCAGCACCAACCGTTTACCTACTGTTCCTATTAATTTTGCCATGCTCCGCGGTTCCCATTCTAGGTTTCCTTGTTTTATCAAGCATTTGTCCTTTCCTATACCGTTGCAACGAGTCTGGACCCTAACCTGGTGCGACGGTTTATGTGCCTCTTTGACCCATTGAGCTATACTGGGTGGTGCCTCCGGGCCCCTTGAGAGCTATCCTTACCAGGTGTGTCAGTCTCCTGGTCCTCTAGGTTGGGGGTTTAAGATGGGATGGCGCCCATTTCTGTAAAACTAAATTATTGCCACCTCTCCGCTGCCTTGTGGACAGGCTTTTGAGCCAAAAGCTTTGTTGAGAACCATAATCGTTCTCTTGTCTATGTCTGGGCGCCCTGGCAGTATCTCAGCTCACATACAGTCATGACTATTTCTTCGAATTTCAACAGCATCCTGCATCGGCCGTTGCGCATATTGTCAAGCGTCGCCTTATCTGCTGCCAACAGCAGGACGGATAAGCGAAAACATGCTACTGCTAGCGCTTCCCATTTTTCATCTGTTTATCTTACTAACCTCTCAACCCCCATTGCTAATCTTCCGCCCATGATTCCCAACTTAAGTGACAGCATCCGCCATGCCACTGGGATCACACCATATGCATTTACCCTCTCGCTCTACCCACTGGACGCTTATCTACAACAGTCTTTTTTAAGACTATACTGTCCCATTTCCCTGGCGTCATTCAACGTTCGCACTCTAGGACAAATACGTCAACAGGCTGCACTCGCACGCACGTTGGACACACTGGATATTGACGAGTTTCATATCCGAAGCTTTGCTCAATGACTCACATGTAGTTGTTGAATTAATTGGGCTCGGCTTGTCCTCTATTGGTTGCACCCATCCAGAGACGCTGATGTGGCAACTACTGGTCAAGCCGATATGGGCATAGTTCTCAGCTCCGAAGCTGAGTCATCGTTGTTTAGCTAGATTCCGGTGAATAGCCGTTTGTGTGCAGCCAGTTTAACGATATCAGCTAAAGTTGATTCCCGAAATAGCATTAAACGCTGTTTGTTTGTGGTTTCCGCTTATGCCGTTGCCGATTGCAGGCCTGATGCTGCAGAAGGCGCTTTCTATCACTAACTGGACACGCTACTGCGCAATGTTACCAGTTCTGATCTCATTGTTGTTGCATGGGATATGAATGTGCAAGTAGATCCTCTGAATTCTCCAGAAGCTTCGTTTGGTGGTAATTATGGGCTTTACTCCGAACGGACGGACAACGTCCGCTGTCCTTGCACCATGCAAGTAATGCACATCTTGGGGGCAGACAGCCACTCGCTTGAGGAGATTGTCTCACTGGGCCAATTGCTGTGGCTTGGTCACGTGTTGCTCATGCCCGCTCAGCGCCTTCCGCATCGTGCATTGTTCGCGGTTGCTGAGCAGGTCTGGAGGAAGCGGCGCGGTGGACAACCTACGACTTGGAGAAACCACATTGGGAAGCTGACGAAGCAATTGGCCTTCGTCGATCGATCTCGACTCCCTTCTTGGTGTCCCGGAGATATGGAGTGTCGCCAATTGGAGACCCTTGAAGTTCTCGTTTAAGACCGACATCTGTAGCTGGCGTGTTGTGGTGACATCCTTTCCTTCCCTTAACAAAACAAAATGCCAAAAACTCCAAATGTTGGTGGAAATTTTGACAAAAAATTGTTGCCTGTTTTTTTTTCCTATTCAGATCCTGCTTTCATATTTCACCACAATTTCAATGGCACTATATTTGTACCACAGGTTGTGCTTAAATAATATAATAATAATAATATGCCCTGGTACGCCGTCCTTTTTCCGTAGCTTTTACCGGGAGCCTTACCAAGCGTCTCCCTCGATTGACGACGGAGAACTTTTCTCAGCCTTCTGCCAGGCAAGCCGATAAGGATGCGCTGCGTACCGAGCTCTCGCTATCTTGTCCTAATGATACTGAGCTTCAGTGGAATAGGATCTCGACTGCCATGCCTGTGGTACTATCAGTCGTCACCGCACCGGTCACTGGATATCCGCGAAGTCGGTGAACCTGTTGGAATCCAGAAGAAAACTCCCGGATGGCTCTGAGCATAATGTGACCAGACGGACTATTAGGCGCGAACTAAAATGTAGCCTGCGCACTGACGAGGAAGCCTGGTGAACAAGTCGGACTCAAGAAATTTAAGAAGCAGGAGCAGTAGGCAATTATCGCAGGCTTTTCCAGCTGATCCGCACCACTGGTCCCAGAAAACCAAGCGTCAGTAAAAAAATCAGAGACAGCACCGGTGCTCTGATTCACGATAAGGAGCGCTCTATGGCTCCCTGTTTCCGGACCTCTTCATATTAAGGTGACGCAGGATGAGCCGTGGATGGTTGGTTTAGAGGCTTCATCGGAGGTTAAGGTCCGAAACGCGATCACAGCCCTTAATCGTTTTCGTGTTGCTGGCCCCGATTTTTTCGCACATGCACTATTTAAGTGGCACGCCACTCAACTACGCACTGATGATGTCACCTCGATTAGTGACGAAAAGTTTGCAACAAAGTTGCCAAGCTAGGCGAACAGTTCAACCGCCATTTAATTGTTTTTTTTCAAACCCCCACCACTTAGCACCAGAGAGTTAAACACACGCTGAGGTTTTATTGACGCTAAGGATCGTGCACAGTGTGTGCGTGTGTGTGTGTGTGCGGTAGGCACCACTTCCTCCACTTGAGCTCTCTACACTGATGTTGATAACGAGGGATAATAAAGCACTTTTCGTGCCACTCACGGTGTTCGCCGTCATCCCACATCCCGACGGATGCATTTATATGATAGACTTCTTGGGTCCAAACAGATGCTGCTGACGAGTGGCTGCCAGAGGTTGTTCCTGTTGAGCAGCCTATTCGGGACGTCCGTCCATTGATCGATGAGAGAGTCAAATAATTGGGATCCATTGGCTCCTTCTTTTCCACTGCTTTGATTGTAATAGCAAACACGGGATTGTGCAGGCGTTTAGGTGCCGCTACGGCCACCCTTTCACGTGGCAAAGCACCTACGGTATCCGACGTTGCTCCTTGATTCATCGTTTCTGTTTCAAAACCTGGACATTTTGTGATGAGTTACAACTATTACCCTTGTCGATAATGTCCATTTGTTGTTCCCGCCCTCATCGTGAAAGGCTGTGTCCGCTTGAAATCTTTCTGCTAGCCAGTCCAGTAATAGTCGATATGTTGGTACCAGTGGATTGGTGGCATGCAATTAATTGCACCACGTTATGCTGAGGCCGATTCGAATCAAACTCCATAGATAATTTTAGTGGCGCTGCATCAGCTTTCATCTCTCCCCACTTTGGATATTTCCTTTTATCTTTACTTAACTTCAAAGGATTTTGGCTCTCAATTGTACTACCACTTAGATTCCACTTTTTATTGACTTATGGTAAGTCACATTAGGTTGAATACATTTCACCTTACGCCCGTGCACGAGAGGTACGGCGATTCGATTTTCCACACGTGGACAAGAGCTTCACTGCTACCTAATCCGTCCACCCATGTTTCCACTCACTCGTTCCTTTAACACTGAACAGATGGTCAATTACTGGTTTTCTTCACTTGATACCTTTCTGCAACTCTTGTTGTACCAGGTCCTAGCAACCACTCATGCACCCTATGCGGAAAACTCGTGACTACGAAACACGGAATGGTGAGACACATGCGCATCGTTCATCAGGGTAAGACACAAGTCACTAATTATGCTGTTTCATTATCTCTTTTCATGTTCAAGTTTTCACACCCCTTAGTACGTAGTGACCTGGAGATTCCCCCGTTTGACTGTGTGAATTGTTCTAAAGTTATGGTTTTCTTATATATCAGGGAATTAAGCGGTCTGACTGTTTAAATGTTGATCCCGTTTGTTTGAGTCACATGCAAGACACTCGCATCCGCCATACGATCAATCAGAGGCGACCTGCGACCCTCGCTCTTCCTCGCACTCAGCACCGGTATACATCTTCCATAGTTAGCTCTCCGCTTGTGCCTTTTTGTTAGTAACTGGAAAATTCCCATTTGATCATCAAGAACAAGGGACCGAAGGTAAACAATTGTTTTTGATGAATTCCTCGTCAGACCTTTACAATCATATGGGTAATGCGCAATGGGAGTAACAGTGGTTTCGATCAGTTCAAATGAAATTGGATCACGTGACAACCGGGGGCATAAACCAGCAATAAACGTAAACAATAAGCGCAAACTAGGGCAAAGATGTAGTCAAATGATTGCTTCTGGCCTCCGAATCGTCCATTTTATCTGGCCAGGGTAACTTAAGAGCTTCGATCAGTTTCTTTTGTGAACACAAAAGCGGTTGATACAACCGAATACTGATCGCCTCAGCTGTAGCGAGGGTGCGGAGGCGCAGGCCTTTCGATTGGAGTGGCGGAACCTTGTAGAGTATTCGAAAGGCGCGGACTGGATCGACTTCATGCCCACTATCAACTAGATGAGGCATAAGAGAGCTAGTTATAGCCCCGGTACCACCTTGACGCAACCAGCGTGGAAGGTGCTCATTAATGCGCTTTGACATGTGCCGTGCCGTTCGACCGATGTAAGTAGCACCACAGGCGCACTCGAACTGATAAATGACCATAGAAGCGGTCAGCATCGGCAACTTGTCTTTGTTGCAAATGCGAATGAGAGGTTTCGTTGAGAAAGTGCACTTGAGCTTAGCAGCTGGAAAAGTTGACTTAACGGCTGTAGAAAGGCTTCTGGCTACACGTTCGGCGGCTACGTCTCCTTTGAAAGATAATCTTATAAATAGTTCTTCCTTCTCAGCTGTTAGAACCTGCACCGGGTCTTGTTTGTCTTGCATGTTCTTAAGAATGAATCGATCAGGATACCCGTTTTCGCGCAGCACATTTTTTGTTGTTGAATGAACTCCAACTCAGTATCCAACGTATCTTCAGAACAAATCCTGCGGGCCCTTGTGGTTAAAGAGCGAAGTACGTTTCGCTTGTATCTCAAAGGAACGAAACTATGGAAGTTCGTATACTGGCCACTCCAGGTTTTCTTCCTGTAGACGTGCCGTTGGATCGAGCCATCTACCCTACGAGTTAACAATACATCAAGGAACGGCAACCGGTTGTTCGCTTCCTTCTCGCAGGTAAACTGCAATGCTGCGTGGGCCTGATTAAAGCGTTCAATAACAGCGTCGAGGTCAGTGGACTGATCGGCCACAACAAATATATCATCCATATAGCGATGATAACAATCAAAGGTGGTGATCTCCGCATGTAGTTTGGTGTTCTCTAATTTTGCCATGGAGACATCAGCAAGCAGCGGACCTAGTGGCGATCCCATGGCTACACCATCTTTTTGACGGTAGTAGGTGCCATTGAATAGGAACTGTATGTCCCCGGTGCAGCGCAAAAGGCGACTTTTCAAATCACGCAATGGTATGCCTATCGTTGTCTGTGTTTCGTTGATGTAAGTACAAATGTAATCAGTTGTCTCGAGAAGTGGGACGTTGGTGAAAAGCGAGACATCCAAGGAAAACATTATTTTCTTACTGATGTTACGGTCCCTGACGCTTTCGATGAAATGAAAATTGTCACGAACGCTGTAATGTGTAAGTCGCTGCCTTATTGGCTCAATAATTTACACAAGCCATTGGGCAACAGAATGGTAGGGCGAATTAACCATTGATAAAATTGGGCGAAGTGGGACATCAGTCTTATGAATTTTAGGTAACCAGTAAAGCCTCGGAACATTCGTGCCACTTGGCTTAAGGCTGTCATAAAGAGTATTTGAGATGTATCCGTTATTCCGAAGCTCTTGCAAGCTCTTAGTAATCTGCTTTTCGGTTCGCTCCGTTTGATCCTTTTCTCCAATTGTTCGGACCAAGGCCTGTGCCTCCGCACCCTCGCTACAGCTGAGGCGATCAGCATTCGGTTGTATCAACCGCTTTTGTGTTCACAAAAGAAACTGATCGAAGCTCTTAAGTTACCCTGGCCAGATAAAATGGACGATTCGGAGGCCAGAAGCAATCATTTGACTACATCTTTGCCCTAGTTTGCGCTTATCGTTTACGTTTATTGCTGGTTTATGCCCCCGGTTGGCACGTGATCCAATTTCATTTGAACTGATCGAAACCACTGTTACTCCCATTGCGCATTACCCATATGATTGTAAAGTCCTGACGAGGAATTCATCGAAAACAATTGTTTAACTTTTTGTTAGCTTTAACTACTTCAGCAACCTCTCAGTAAACTTTACTAGTTTATTTTCGTGTGTTCTCCCGCTCGTTTTTGTTTTTTTCCTTTAGCTGTGCGTCTGATTTATTGCGCATGACCGACGCGCTATAATGGCGTTCGGCACTGGAATGCGCTTTGGGTGTCGCAACTTCTCCGTACATGCGTACGAACGTGCCATAATCATAATCCTCATTCTCCTACACATTAACCAGGGGCAAGAAAAACCCCAGCAACTTTGCCGCAGTACAGTTAAATAAGGCGACAGGAGAACGAAGGAAAAAGTAAAGCAGTAATAAGAGCAAACAATTTATACTGTTTTGTACGATGTATTGACGACGAGGTTGTGGTTGAAGTGAGAGGCTAGGGGGGATGGAGTGGGATAAACAAATTCACAACAAGCGCCATAGGGGTTGGTACTTTCCCTGTCAACAAGTGTGTCAAACGAAACGCGTTCATCGTCTTTTGAATCCAAACCAGTAAGTCAGCAGGCACCGACTGTGGCGAAATTCGAAGCGAAGGATCCTTGGCCAAGTCATCGGTTTGACATCCTCTCTTTTTCCATTCAGACCCAGGTCGTGAAAACAACGCACATCACGAGAGTCGGTGTGCTGGCATGCGCAACACGTGATCTAGTCCAGTTGCTGTGGTGTTCGCTGAGCCGCTCCAGTAGCTCACAGTTTCGTCAACAGTCGTGGTGACGTCATCGATGCGCGGGTGTAAGGGATCTCGTAGCGAAAGCTGGTGGGAGACAAATCTAGATATGGATGTCACCAATCACTTATTTACTCCCTATATACATTTTGCAGTAATCAACTTTGGCTTGTGCTGATTGGCTACTCGTTGTGCTCTGCATCTGTGATTGGACAATTGCCATATCCTGCCACAATGTTGCTAAGTGGATAGGGTTATCGAATCTGGATTGATGCAGGAGCCATTCTGGTTCACGTAGTGTTCTGTTCATTATGAAACAGCGACAAAATGCATTTTAAAAGGAACACTGAATTCAAGTATTTCGATTATTCTCGTCAACTGTTTACATACATTCCGTGAAATTACCGCGTTGCGTACAAAAGGATGCAATATGTAAGGTAATTCATTTCAGAGAAAAACGATCAATAACCTCACCAAGGTAAGGCGAAGCGTGTCGTAAGTTCAGCCTGTTTACAAAATTGGGATATAGCCGCTAAATAGCTAAAGCTTCGACTAACTGAAGTCACCGGACATTGCTCTGCAGTTACTCGCGATTCGTTTAAAGTAATTAACCTGCAGAACAATGCCCGGTTGCTTCAGTTTGCCTAAGCTTCAGCTATCTGGCGGTTAAAGACTAATTTGTACAAACAGGTTTATCTTACGGTAAGCTTCGCCTTACCTTGGTGAGGCTATTGATCGTTTTCTTTGAAAAGAGTAACCTTGATTATTGCTTCCTTTTGTACGCAACGCGTTAATTTCACAGTATGCACGTAAACAGTTGACGATAATCCCCGAAATACCTGAATTCATTGTGTCCTATTCAATGTCCGGGCAGTGGGTTGTTTACTTTCGAGCTGTAGCTCTGAATTCGTCTGAATTTTTTCTCAACGGCTAGTCTGTGGGATCGATCTCGATGCACATGTTGATTGACTTGTTTGTGGAAGACCAAGCCTCAAAGAATTTCATTCCTTTTTGTGTTCCTGCTTGGGGTAGGATCTCTGCTTTGTTCCATTCGGAACTGTGTCCTTCATCCAGGTGTTCTGAAACTACTGAGATCGCGTAATGTTTTTCTCACTCCCAGGAACCTGGTACATGAAATAATAGTGCTGAGCGCCTCAATTCCTCTTTCTCTGCCATAAATAAGGCGAAGAACACGCTCATTGCGTACGCGATGTTCTCACCAAACATGAGCTAAGCTGTGAAAGGAACGATGATCGAACGTAACTAGCCTTTTTACGTCTATCGACTTGGCGGGCCAGGTTTCACAACCGTACAGTAAGGTCGAACGTGCGACTGTATTGTACACTCTACCTTTCAGGGAGAGAGTGATGTCGCACCGGCAACATAGGTGACGAAGGTTAGCAAAACCGCCTCGTACTTTTGCTACACGTCAGAGCAGTGAGAATACATAAGTTGCGCTATGTCAACATTTCAACTGTTCTCCTCAGTCGCAAACACAATACAAGCGGGATTCATAGACAGTTATATACAGGGGGAAATTTGGCACACCAACAAAACGGATTGGATCCGAGAATGAACCGGAGCCCAGCATCATCTATCACCATGCATTTCTTGGCAACTCGACATCAGGTGAACCAGGAGACTGCGTTCAAGGTGTTATTACGCAACAGCAATCCGATAATTTTGGCAACTAGTGAGGCTTTGCTAATTAGGCCTTATCAACCTGTGTTATGTGCACAGAAACTATTGAGACAATCAATTAGGTTACCGTGGTCTTGGTTTTGACATTTTGATTGGCGTGCCAATTTTCCCCTCCGTATATAACTGTCTATGAA